CTCGTTGTACTCAGTTCAACATAAGAACTTTTGTATAATGTGGTATAGCTAACACTGCTGCTACGTTAGCTTCATCTAACCCTGTAAAGCACTGTTTGAGGTAAACTATGACCCAGATTCATATCACCTGGGTACACACAGTCAAGATAAAGGTTAGCGAATTTTAAATGACAAAAAGGACAGAATTGATAAAAGTGAATAAATAAAGAGAACCTTGTGCTAACTTCAGTAGAGGTTTGATGGCATAAAGTCAGACAAAAGTCAGTACGGTTTTACAATCCACTGATATAACACTTGCTTAACCGAGAGATCAAATCATGTTATTCCCGGGCCTTAAATATCAAACCGTTACACCTTGTCCACTTTCATCCTGCTGCCTGAAATGTTTAATGTAAAAGACAAAATTGCAACAGTTAGTCTAAAAGGATATATCTTTGAAGATCGCTACCACGCTTACCATGAGAATTGTAAAAAGCAACCGTCTCACAAGACTGACATTTCCCTGAGAATAGTCTCAAGGTAGAAACAAAACACATGAACTGAAGAAACTTCATTGAAATTGAATCAAAGTAAGTCTGTGTTTCAGGATCTCTAGCCCTGACAATGACAAGCACTTTGCACTGCAGAGGAAATAACAATACAAACTCACTACATGACTTTATAATCTAGAGATCAGGAAGACAAACAGAATTTTATGTATACCCAAATCCAATTAAAGTGGTAAAGGGATAGGGCCCGCAACCCATTTGTTTCTACACATTCAATCTGCACTGCTCTTCAAAAGCAACACTGGATTATTACTTTGTTTGATTGCAACAATTATTGGAACAATCAGCTTTCCACCTTCCAGACATTTTGACGGTCTGTGCAATTGTCCACACTACATCTGTAGACAGCTCCTGCGCCGTAAGCACTTATTCTTTCTCTCATCAGCACAGCTCTTGGCGAGGCCAGTCAGAAGAAAAGGAAATATGCTGCTCCACGTGACCAGTGTTTGGCAAACCAGTCCCTAGACTAGGCTCCTGACTGCAAACACACACAAAACATCTTCCACCTGTCCCTTCTTGTAGACATAAGCAAATACCCCTGGCCATTGGGAGAGAAACAAGACTCATGAATCTTGACAAATACACACAGCTTACTCCGATTCATTACAGCAATACCTCAGGGGTCCTCCTTCTGTCCGTTTGTCTCCACCGTGTAAGGGCCAAAGGCTTTCCTATGTTCAGCACAGCGTAGAGTCTCAACAGGTCCAAAGGTAAAGCTCCAGTAAAAAGATGAAACATCTAGAGGTCTGTGCAAGGCAACAGCTAAATGACTGCTGGCTGACTAAGAGTACAATCATTCATAATGATTTGCAAATGTGCTCCTTATGAAATATATTACAGAATGTGAGTACATCAGTACCCAGGCACTCAATCATATTAAAGGCTAGACTCCTAATTAATTCAACTGGACCCATTATTGTACCTGGTCCATATTCAGGTAACTGTGATATGAGCTCATTCAAATTATTTTATGGCATCATTAATAAGTTCCCATCAATATAGTTAATCGTGTTTGCATAGGATTAATCACTTTATTTCCAAAAAAAAGGGTAAAGACAACCATCCAGTCCAGGACAATATTACGTGTACCCAAATTAGCTTATGAAATGTAACATGGGAGATAGTATTGGCACGTTGACCTCGATTATGTTATTGAACTATAGTCCGTGGTACACCCTCATTTATTGTACTTTAGCTGCCTTAATTGCCACCTAATGATGGGTTAAAATAAACCATACCTCTTATGTGAAGTGTTGGGTGCCAACATGAAGGGAAATTTATTAGAATGACAAGGAACGAATTGAACATTGAAACAATGGAAGCAGCTGCCAATGCTCTAGATCAACACATCTAAAAAAGTGATGGAAAGTCTAAAACTGCTGTGCCGTTTGTGCTTAATCTTATGGGCAATTTAATTTCACATTAAAATTCATATCATTCATAAAAGGCGTATGTGTAACGGGACAAGTGATATTTCACACGCTGAGATAGAAAATGTCAAAGCCATTAACTCCTCGGTAAAACATATGAGCACACGAACATTGCAAATAAAGGCTCAATAGTGTGGCATCCGTTACCACGGCAGCAAAATATGTGGTTTACCATGTTTAGTGTAACGTATAGGGCAACAGGCATGCATCCCTTCAACACTGAAACCCAATCGGGCATATGTTAAAGAGATTATTTAAACAGTTTGACATAGCATATGGAGTCAAGGTTAAGCCTTAATTTCCTTTAACATTATTATAATAACGCCTGAACTGATCTTTACCCGCACAGATCTGCAGAAAACAAACAGAAAATGCGTCATCTTTCTGAAATAAGCGGATAGCTTTTATATGGAGGGGGGCTTTGTGAGACAGGCACTACAAAAGAGTGTTTCAGACAGAAGGCGTGAGCCAGTACGAGAGAAAATGTGTTTTCACATGTAAGCATGTTCTAGTTTAAACCCAAAATACAAGTATGAATTTGACATTCAGCATGAAGTGGTCTTTAAGGTCATATGGACCATGAGCTTATTATATATAAAAACAATTAAACACAATTTGACACAGCAGACGGGGTCATAAGATTGAGTAATGGTATAAAACCTGCTTCAGTTGTTTTTATCTGATGTTAACCACAAATGACCAGGTTGGTGGTGGTTGGCAATTCAGCTTTTAGTTGCAGTGGTACTAGTATGCAAGATCATACCTTTTTCATGGATCTGTTTAAGTCCTTGAGTCGCTCTTTGTCCGACTCCTCACCTTGGATAAATGTTCCTCGGTACACCCTGTTAAGGTGCAGTTGCCCCTGACAACAAAGCTCCAAGGATTGATCCCAACATATAACTATGTTATATTTCAAGGGAGACCTGCATAACTAACTATACTGAGAAGAGTTTTGAAACTGTAAAAACCTTGGATAATTAGAGTATACAAGACTACAAATGCATACCCTAAAGAAACAGCCTTTACAAGGACTCAGCATGACATTGACATCCATATGTAATTGTTGACAGCTGAATCATCCCTCACAGGGTTGGCATGGAGTGATTTATGGCAAGGAAAACGAAATATGTCAAAATAATACTCGTCACACATCAGGAAAAAAAAAAAGATCAAAAGGTTTACTACGTAAGTGTTTCACACTGAGCAGCAACACAATACATGTTACCATAGGTACAAAGGACAAAAGCAAGTTTAACAACTTCCAGAAACCAAACAAAAGAAAAGAGACATGCTCACTTAATATCCTACTTTTATATTGTGTTAGCTGTAATTTGGGCCTTCAATAGCATTTTATTTGTCAGAGTTTATCTTCACGGTCAACATTTTATTTTATACTATTTTTAATTTCTAATTTCATTTCAAACCTTTATTTAACCAGATTGGTCCCTTGAGATCATAGATCTCTTTTTCAAGGGAGACCTGCAGAAATTATAATTATGTGCAATGCCCTGTTTTATATGCTGCTGCAACAAAACATTTCCCAATTTTGGATCAATAAAGTATATATCTTATATACTAACGGTTTTGTGCAGGTATTGTTTGTTTCGGAGGTAGAATATTTTAGTAAATTAAATATTGAATCAATTTGGGCCTTGATGATTCTGAAAATATATATATTTCCCTGTTTAGCCTGCTCACACTCATTCCAGAGTCACGACCTGATTGGCCAGATTAAATTGTGAAGGCGGTTGCTATAAATGTGGCGAGGAGAATGGAATTTTCCTTTTGCTGACTAAAGAGCAGCACAAGGACTGTTGTGAGAAGGCAAATGATTATTTCTGTAAAATTATGTTTCTGGTTCAATGTGTAAAATAAAATGCCCAATTTCTTCCAAGAAAACCCTCGATCCAATTGTGATGTTTTATCACCGGCAGCTCACATTACAACACTGATAAACACTAGTTTACATTTTCAGTATGTCAAAGATGCTGAAGAAGCCATGATCCCAGCAGAACTGTCTCATATTTTATAATCACATTTCACATTTTTCATGTTGTGTTACAATTTCATTTAGCCATACATAATTAAAATCAATTGTTTTTACTTAACTAGCTGATCTGTAATCAGCTCGATCACAACAACAAAACAAATGTGAGGATTTAATTATCAAGTGTCATTGCTCGAGTGAATCAATAGTCAGCTTTTCTGTTTCAAAAAGAAGCGTATGGATGCAAATAAGGGGAGAAAATACCTCACTAGACCCAACTCCTTGTTTAAACTGGTTAAATGACCCTGGCTAAAGTGAAAGCTTTTGATTTAGCGGTGCTCTGTCACTTAATAAAATATGTTTAGTTTAGACGGCTAAAGAGCAACCGGGTCTCATCAGACCCTTTCTGTTATTGCTGTAGAATTGACTGGAGGTTTGAGGCAGAAATATGTGGAGATATCCTTTGACACTAACACAGTAACTGACTGTGAGCCTTGGCTGCAACGGCTCTGAAAATGTGGCAAAAGCACATCAATAGTTTAAAAATACCATTAAGTGCCAGTAGTACGATAGGGAGGCGATCACAGAAAGCGAGTGTCTGGGGAAAATAAAAATAAGTAAAACTTACCTTTCCTTACCCTTTAAAGACAGGTTGAATCCATCTCAGCACACCACAGGCAACAGATGCAGCGCCGAATAGAAAAGAGATGTTATCTCAAGGAAAATGGGAAGGTGTAGCTTCACTGATGTTCTGCTTTAATACAACGTAAAGTCGGGTTTACAAGGGAATATGTTGCATGTCTGAGCAAAACCGCAGGTAGATTGCATTGTGTGCTAGCGCTGGAATAAATCTACTACACATAGTGCAACTCCAAAATGTAGTCTGTGTTTGTTTGCTTACATTAAGCACAGGTAAGGACAGGGTGCTGCAAGGGAAACGTGTGCACACTCCACAGATATACACATTACTGTTGACTTCAATCGTTACAAAAAGGCTGCTGACCGAGTGCGACGTATCCATTGAAAAACAGACAATAATTTGAACACAAAAATATTTATTCCCACAATTATCCCAATAAACTGAACACACACCAAGTTACATGCATGAGACATAAGGACAATATCTTTCAGCTTAAATAGACCGCAGTACCGCAGTACACAACAAAAAGAGTGGGAGAGTAAGCTGTCTTATCAGGGATGTGCAGGTCCAGCGGTTTTCAGTGCACCACAGTGAAGAGTGCTACTTCTGTACTGGTCTTCCTCTTGAAGCAGCCACCACCCACACATGGCCACAGTACAGGAACAACTGGCTGACCTAAGACAGACACAGTGATGATGTATTGTGTGTCTTACTGACCAACTCTGCTTCCCCATTTAACAAAAGGAGCAGAAATAACCAACGTTAAATTGACCAAATAAGTTGAATCGGGACACAAACCATTATTTCACGAAGAAAGGTAAACAGTCAAGGTAAATTCTCTGAGGGGAAGAAAAGGAAGAAACTAAAGACAAGAGCTTTGTAAGCTAAGCTTTGTTGTACATGTAGAGCCTTTTGTTGACTCCACAGAAACAAGGAAACTGGAGCAGACTCAGAATACTTGGTATAAATGTTCCTACTGAGCAGCCAGTTTCCTTATGTTCATGATCAACCTCTTGCTGTAATCCAAATGGTCAACGGGTTTCACTTCCACCGCTGTGGCCTTGATCCTGGACTCATCCTGTCAGACACAAAAGTACAAAACTCATTCATATGGAACACATTATAGGCCTGCAAATGCTGCTTTTGGTGCGTCCCACTTGGTTTAAATCAAAGCTCAAGTAGTTCAAAACGGTACACACAATCACGTAGATGCCTGTTTGCAATTGATGTTAATGGAGTTCAATTTCAACAAAATGTATATTTGGTGATAACCAGTAGAGACCATATTTGGATGAGAGGGTGGAGCAACGTACAACCAACAGTGAAAAAAACGAATTTTTAGATGACCAAATTGTTACAATTATCTAAAACATGCTGTGGCACCCTAAGGTAGCCAAGACTTTGAAAGAATGAAGGTTAAAAGCCTTTTTAGACAAAGACATTGCCCCTTGGTTGATCTCTCTAACCACAATCTAGCCACACATGTATTAGAAACATACTATATAGGCATCTTCTATTTCCCCTTGACAAAGTGTTTTGATGAGACTGATTTGGACTGGTATCTGAAAGTTGGTTGGCATTTAAATGAATGTTTTACAAGAAAAGAAGCAGCATTAAAGCCATAACCACCTCCACAGCTGTCTAGACAGGGGAAGATCACTTCCATCAGAGCCATTATTCTCTGCGTTTAACAGAGGTTACACTCATTTCTTCTCCCTTAATCCTCGGCAGCTCAAGTGGGTGAAATGTAAATCAACTTCCTTTGGACTGGTGCCCGCATTCCTTTAGAATAGCCTGTTATAAATCTCTCTGCTTGTTTTGCATGATGCAAGAGAGCTATGTACGCATGATAAACAAAAATACAAAATAACGGATGACTTCAGATTCATGCGATTCACTGTTATGTTTTTGGCTGCGATGTAAAAAATGGGAACATTGCTATCGGTATTAACTACTACGTTTCAAGCATTGGATGTGTCCCATGTTTAGGCCATGAGCAGCTCCTTGCTCCAGCTCCTCTCCTTGCTGCTCTGCTGGGAGCCAATCGGAAACCATGCTGGCTGGGGGGGGGGGGGCTGTGTTGCTGTTGGCTCCCAGTGGAGTTGGAAGGCTCTGCACCGGGCCAGCTCTCCATTACCTGGTTGCTAAACGATTTTTGCTACTAAAAAGCAGATGGATTCATAATACAACTGTGTAACAACATTTTGGATGGTTTATATATTAAAAACCTTATCAATTACCAACAATGTTATTAAAATATTAACAATATCATCTTTAGAAAACGTTATCATTACAGCCTTTTCGCAACCAATGTTGTTGCCAAACTGTTTATTTATTTCCTGTAGAATAGGGATTGCTTTTGTTGCAGTTCATTAATACAATTAGGATCATATCTTTATTTGTAATGATGTCTAATTGTATTATCTGTTTTAATATTCAAATCAACAGATTAGAAAGTAAAAAAAAAGCCAAAATATTGTGTCAGTGGTCAGAACTGTGTTGGTGCTGCAGTGAAGCGCCTAGAATGTTGAATATCAGCTTTCTAATCATCGTCATCCTTTTGAGGTACTTCAAACGGTTATAACGTCTAGACACTGCCTACAGGGACAGGTAGACCTTAAGAACTGCACAGCAGCTCAGAGCTGAGAGCAGCCATTCCTGATGTCAGGTTAAGGAAAGAAGACTGTCAAATAATTAAATGCTGAGTGGTTATATTTAAACGATTGGTTGTTCACGGCAACGACACAGTTATAGTAATAGAGTCATCCATCCACTGAAATCTGAGTGTTAAAACTTACACATTATCAAAATAATAAATATTCTAAACATCAACACTCTACCTCCAATATTGAGAAGTGTGGAAATGACGTTATGCGCCACACCCACGTGAACCACACCCCACTTGTTTTGTTAAATACACTGTGATTAAGAGTGTTGAGATTGAATAGCAACACAGTTAAATTAAGTGGCACAGCTTTTAGTTCTCAGTGAGACCCAATTCAGATGTTTTCTTCAGTGTGATGTCTGGCTGAAAGTAATTGAGCAATACAATGCTATCATTTGATGTTGATATTAAGGTCAACAAAAATCAGTGAAGAGTGTTCAAAACGTGCCTGTTTGTGATTGCTTTTCCTTGAGAGCGTCAACTCCAAACTTTACTTCTCAGCAATACACATTCCAAAACCTAGTTGCAACCCCTACGCATTGTTAGAGTATAAGCTTAACTTGGTACACATCTCACACAAATATTGACTAAGCGCAACTGCCCAGACTATCCAAGAAAGGCCAAAAGCATACAAAAAAAAGTCTTCCATGGCTTTAGAGAAACCTTGTTACAGAGTTTGTTTGATGCAGCAAAGGGCAGCAGGTCCGATTCTCTCCCTGTGATGCAGCAGGGTGGAAGGGTGTCATTAACTCGCTATGTCCAACATCAAGCATTGTGAGAGCACGGCACAATGGCTGGCTTGTAGCATTGAGGAGGAGAAAATAAAGTGAGAGAGGGGTTGCAGGTGTCTCTGCTGAAGGTGTCTGGAGGCAGCAGCCAGTCCATGCTTGTAGCAGTGCCATTGGCAGTTAGGATGCTGAGCTGAATGTGACAGGCACAGTGGGCTCTTCTGTGGGTTGATGGCGGATGCCGCCTCTGGCCAGACTCCAGACTTCCTGCTCAGAGTCTCAGCCCAATCAATTCTTTTATGTGCATTCCTCAAAACAAGCCTTTATCTGTGTTGCCAACAGGAAACAGTGACAACGACATATCTGTGCGTCTTCTTTGTCCCCACCAGTCTTATAACCGACCATATTTTCTATTTTGTATAAGCAATACGATTCAACTACAAAGCATGCTATGATGGCATTTTATCCGTTTTATTACAATTCCGGCTTTACTTACGTTATATGTTTCTAGCTTCACTCTGCTGCGGAAGACAAAAGTGTTGAAGTTGGCTTGTTGGAAGATTTCGTCAAAGGCGGCTTCGTTCTGAAAATTGAGAACATTTTGATTAGCTTAATTTCAAGAAAGTACACATTTTATCAATCATTAGCTTCGACACAGTTTAAAGTGCAAAGTAAGTTTCTGATAACTGAACAGTGAAAAACATCTGTGAGTTTCTCAGTAAGAAGAAAAGCACAGAGGGGGTCTTTAACACAAATGTGCCATTGCAGGAGTGTGTGTGAGTGTGTGTGAGTGTGCATGCTTGGCAGTAATAAAGCCCGAGGTTTAGCTTGTGCCTTTGCCATTTTCTGAGGCCAGTATTAGAGTTGAGATCTAGAGTCTCACCGAGTCCTTGAGCTGCCCCAGGTAAGCTGCGTTCTGGCCCAGGATGGACTCTGCAGTCTCCTGGAAGCACGTCACCCACTGGTTGTCCGCGTAATCTGCAATGTTGGCCTGTCGGATTATATCAAAAACAAAAAAGTGAGAGTAAGTAGGAACAGAAGTTGCATGCATAAACAGAATTAGATGAATGAACTATTGTTTACATTTTGTAACATTTTGCTTAACCAGTTGAGCCCCGAGCCTGTTTTTCAGGCCTCAGGCTCGAAAATGACATTCCCAGAACAATTGACTATATCTTCACTTCTAAAAAGGGGTAAATTAATAATCTTTTTTCTCAAAGCAATGATAAACCTGTGAGTTGGATGTAGAAAAGTCAGAATCAATATAGAATTTTCTTATTTTAAAGTAAATTCAGATTGAACATAGTAAAAAAATGTAAATTATTGTGTCCGTCCAAAAATAAACCATTACTTATAGTGAAAACCACCCTTGAATGATGGGATAGTAGACTAAAAGCTTTAGGAATCCGGTACCGGGGGCATGGGGCTTAACTGGTTAATGATTGAATATTGTATGTTGACTTAACACATCTTAAGAATGCTCTAATTAGCCAACTCCTGCGGGAAAGCCCGGCAACATAATCACAAGTTTTCACTGTGCTCTTGTTATACATACTGTGGAAGAGAAATCACAGCTTATGCTACAGCTTGTGAAGAGGACCAATATGCCGACTTGTGAGTGGTACCAGAATAAAATACGCTTATTTTAGATGCCTGGCTGCAATTGCTTAGGGGGCTGACTAAGTGTTTTTGCATATAATGTTCCAAGTAGTTTGTGATCAAGCTGGGAAGAAAAAGCTCCCTGCATTTTCTGTAAAAGGACTAACAGCACAGTTTGAAACGCTGCAGCAATTAACCCAACATTGCTTTGATTTAAACACAAGTGTACAATCTGAAATTGGTTCTCATTACGCTAGTCACAGAAACTATTTTGTTTTGCTTTTTATACAAATGCACAGAGCATATTGGCTAAGTGTTGAAGCAGAAGGAAAGAGGGGCTTGAGTCCAGAATAAAGCAAATGCATGTGCTCAAGACTTGGCAGAAAGAACAGGCATTAAAGATATGTGCATTAGCATTTATGCTTTTGTGAGCGCATGTGTGCCACAGCTGCAAAGGTTTTAGACTTACAGAAAGGATGAGGCGGTACTTGAAGTTGGGGAACTCTTTGTCGCACTTCTCGCAGCGGAACATGCCGTTGTGCTGGTCTACCACTTTTTTGTTGCAGTCTTGGCTAGGACAGGCCTGGTAGAGGCAGTTCTCCTTACGCAGGTACACAATGGTAGCAATGCATGTGTAGTAGTCCGCCTGAAAGGGAATATAAACAAACAGAAATTCAAGTTTAGTGCCAAATAATGTCACTGGAATATGCTCTTACTCTATTTCTCTCTCACACAACCTTTTTGTTTTGAATGGTAAATAAGATGACTGCTAAAATGGCATGAATTAACATATATTCATATAAATAATGATGTACTCAATGATACAGTCTGAAAGCAACATAAGTGTAGCAGAGACACTCTACCAGAATACAAATGGCTCAGAAACAAATGCAAACTATTTATGTAGCTGCCGTGTTTGTGGGGAACAGGCAAACTTTTGAAAGCAGGCGGAAAAAAACTGCCTTCAGGAAACATTCCTAGTCTGCATGGAAAACACCCAACCAGGAGACACCATTCTCACATTGGATATAAATAGATTAAAACAATAAGCAGCTCTACAGATCTGTGCTGTGTTGAAAGGGGAAAAGGTTTCAACATGTCAACAGATGAGTCGCATTACCTCTCCTCTGGAAGACTTTCTCAGGATGGGCGGGCCTTATGCACCTGACAGATAGTAGTTGCACCCTAACAGCTAATTGTTTTGGACAGAGACTTACTAACGTCTGCATTGGCTGTGACAACAGAGAGGAGAGCAGTCCCCCGCTCGCTTTGATGAAGGCTAAAGTTGTCTGTTCAGGGTCAGGGAGCAGAGGAAAAGGCCTGCCAGCTTGGTGCCATAACATCCAAGTACATCAAACAACCGTTTATGCTAATGTGTAATTGCAATTATGATAACTGTAAAAAAACGCTTAAGGTTACATTCCTCTGTAATTACAGTTTCTACAAAAGGACTGAAAAGGCAAAAACTGGTGTGTTTTAAAAAATCAGAAAGCTCCATTAAACATGTTTGGGACCTGGTACAGAACAGCTTTTTCACCGTGTATCGGCTTGTTCAGAAACCCTGGCTGAGTAGTAAATTAAGCTATTAAAAAAACTCTTAGTAACTTTTTTATCATTTGCAAATGAAATAAAACATGAAAACAGTGCATACAAAAATAGAACATATCCCCAACATACACAGAAAATCTTTTATTTTCTCAAAGTACTGACCATTTTTTAATTCACCGATTTGACTGACCAAAAGCAACCCAGACATAAAGCTCAGCTTATTTCCGAAAGAGGTGCAATTAATCAAGTAAACACCTCCTCAATTAGTGTGTGACTAACCGGGGCTGAAGATGACAGGAGAACGTGTTTTCAGTCCTTTACAAATGCGATGTCAAGCCAACAAGAGGAGGGTGACCACTAACTGTCAGAGGGGGCACAGGAGCCATTTCAAAACTTGAGACTGTGACACAAAGGGTTTGTGACATGCACAATTAATTGCAACAGACTTTGGCTAGGGGGGTCTTGAGAGGCCTGACCCCCATGCGCCTGTGTATGGGATGTCTCAGAGGGGCTGAGGACAGCCCTGGCTCGGCTCCTTTGTCAGTACTGGGTCTTATCACACGCCATGCTGAGGAGGAGCAAGAGCCCCTATAGCCCAGGGTCAAACCTTTCCTCCTCAACAGGAAGCTAATGCTACGAGAAGCACCTCACCTGACAGGGGGCTAATGGTTACACTCAGGATTTAGAGTATGGAATTGAAGAGAGAAAATTATATAGGGCACCTTTAGCTGTATTATAGGTCTATAGATGATAGAATAGCTGAAGTAGCTCTACTAAAAGAGGCATACTGACGATCAATGAGCCAATTGCTATCTGTGATGGGGAATCCTGCAGTCAGGGCCATGTAACAGAATTTCAGTTAATTAAGACTTACGGATAACTGCTGCTCCAGTTTAATCCATGCATTCATTTCTTTTTCTAAGGACGTATTGGCCCTCAAGTCTTCAAGCTTTTTAAGAAGACAATGTAGGAAAATTGTTCAATTTGTGTCTTTTGGTGCCCGATCATAATTGCTTATCGTCTTAAATGGGATATGTTCCTCAGACGTTGATGATTACTAAAGTGAAAAGCATGTTCAATTACACAAATTAAGATCTCAGCACAGGTCACATTACAAATTATACACTTCTGTGAGCACCATTTCGCTCAACAGTGGAAATGAATTAACAGGGGAAATGAAAGAACACGTATTACTTTACTTATCCGAGGGCAGTTATTCCATTACAGAGCTCAAAGAACAGAGCCTATGTAATCTCAGTAATCAATACCAGAGATAAATGTGACTTGTACCATGAAAACATACCGAGACTGGGAGAAGAAACCCACAACACAGGGGGATTAATGAGGAGTAGATGGGGATGCGATTTTTAAGCACACATACCTGGTGGTGGAGTCATTTTACGAGTGAATGATTATTACAAAGATTCATCCCGCTGACTCTCAGCTCAAAGGACCTTTGCATGGCAGAGCTATGAGTGACGTGTGAAGGTTGCACCTTAGCAGTACTATATAGACAAGCAATGTGTACCCTGGGTTTTTAATAACAAATGCAGCTTGACTGTGAGCACTTTCATATTAGTTGTTTGGGATTCAACACCAGCCTTTCAGTTTGTCCTTGAATATCTTCAAAGAATCATCCTGAATAACAATATGTCTAGGGTTACCATATCTTGAATGTTTGAGAGCGGCAAAGCAGAGCATGTGTATACCTTTTCTCCATGACCCAGGTGCTCCGTCTTAACGTCAGACAGAGTCTTCCAGTTGGTGTTTCCTCCCCCGCCGCCTTTCACCTCCGTCATGGACTGACCATCCATGGCGTGACCCTCCTTGTCATACCTACGTGAAAGACAACAGATACAGGTCACTGCAGGTTTGTCCGCAGTCACAGTCAACCAAGTTAAGTTGTAGAACTCCAACTACTGATTACAATCTTTATACATTATTTGTAGATTAATTCATTGTTGGGTCCATTAAATGTTAAAAATAAGATTAAAGCAACAAAAACATAACGGGACACAATCACATCACAATTTCACCAAGCAAGCATGTTTGTGTTTCAATTATCTGACTGACCAAAACCAAGACTTTGGTACTATCATGGAGAAGCAGAATGTTATGCCTTTTCGCTTGAAACATTTTAAACTATCTTAACAGTTGCAGATTCATTTCACTTCGAATAAATAATACATGAAGTTATGGTTTCAGCTCTGGATTAATGCTGAGCAAAATATCAATTTATATTTATAATATGACACTAGATTACCGATATGACACGTGATAACATGTACGATTTTGGATGTCGTCATATCGTAAAATGGTATTTGTTCTATATTCTTGGTTGTAACGGCTGCATTATAGTTGTTGTCCACATTAAGGATAGTTCTTTATCATCTCATTGAGGAAATACTTATGAAAGCACCAATAGTCAACCATACAATATTAATGGAGGTATTTTATAAAAAGTATTTTGATATTTGATACAATCTGTATCGCCCAGCCCTACACTAGGGTTGGGGTTACTATAGTCATTGAATTGTGCAGTGCATCACCACATTAACCTCCAAAAACACTAATTACAGAAAGCTGGTTTTCCACTTCAAAATGCTGGTATGTCGAGGCCTGCCCTAGACTGCAGCTTTATTCATTTCCATGTATCCAAACCTAAGAGGGACAAAATACTGTTCAACTAACAGTTAGCTTGAAAACATGTTTCAGGCAGAGCATCCGTTTGTGTTTGTCAAATCCAGGAGGGCTCAGCTGAGAGCAAAGGAGGCTGAGAAATGAATCAACAGCAGAGGGATGGATGAGCTGGCGAGGGTCAGTGCTGCTCCAGTGATATCAAAAACACATTTTCCCCCAATGTTCCCGGAAATTCAGGGAAGACAATAGGAAGAAGAAGAAGAGTGAAGGCAGGGTAGAAGGAGAAGAAAGATGGGTTCAAGCTAACTGCAGTTGTGGGGGGGCAGAACAACACAACAGTTTAAAATGGTCTCCGAGATCAATAGAGCTTACTAATCTGCTGGCCACAAGGCAAGGCTCCGCACAATGGGGAGGTCAGCTTGTAAATATGGCAAGAGCATGCCTTGCTCCTGGAGGCATGACTAATTGAAAAATATCCCCATTAACGTTTCAGACTGTCGCCAGAGCAACGCACATGCTTCCAATTTCCCACACCTTTTGATAAATGTGAGCAATTATTTATGATAGCACCAGATTCCTCACTAGTGTACCTGCACTGATTTGCTTTAATTGCAAATGCACCAGGTTGGGAACTTTTATTCTGGATATTCTGACCAATCAAACAATGTGGAGACACCATTTCCCTTCATGGCTCAACAACTTTCCCAGATGTTCCACAGAGGAGAAATTATTAAAAATGTATCACACTTTTAAAAGGAAGGAATTTAGACTTTCAAGTAAGCATTTTATGGCCGCCCAAAAGGCAGCATGGAGTTCTAAAACTGTAGCCTGGATCATGCAGACAGCGTTGAGCAAAGGAAACAGAAATGTCAGAGTAGACAGCGATCATAATGCAAGAAACAAAAAAGGGACAAATTAGACCTGGCAGCAAAATGTGCAACAGTCAAGTGAAAGCAGGCAGATCTCAGCTTAGAGGAGCGGGACTTCAGAAAGACCAACTATCTGCGAGAACACCAAGATAGATGACAGGAGGTTGGCAGACGTGCACGTGTTTGGCATAGACATGTCAAATGTCAGTGTCAATGAACAAGGAAAGATAGGAGTGGAGAGGCGTCAGAGGAAGAGTCATATGGGAACGATGGGAAGGTTTCAGTGAGCAGTGTTCTCAGCTCCGGGCCTAAACTCTAATGCCTGGGCTGCAAATGGCAAACAACCTACAAACATGATTATCCCATGTTGTGTCAGGGTTTCCCACATAGACTTTACTTGGGCGGGCCGCCCAGGTATATTAACGGCCGCCCAAGTATATTTCGCGACCCATTTCGTTTTTTTGTTACGTTTTTTATTTTATGTATTGTGAACGCAACGCTGCGCAAATGTGGGTCTGCCTCACACAGGGTGACTGGCTGTCGACATGATGTGGCCTGCCGACATGGCCACTGTCATACAGATCATAAATCAAAGCCCTTGATTGGTCTCTGTGTGTAATTCAAGCTCGGGATAACTACAGCTCAGGTGAGGTTAAGGACTCTCTGAGTGTTTAGATAGAAAAAGTTTGAGAACCACTGGACTAAGTTAACTGTCAAGCCCCCCCTTTGGAGAAAAAAAAAAGGCGGGCCCCCCCCCCCAACACAAATAGTCACGTAATGGGCCAAGTTAACATTTATTAAAATACATCAATATGAACGTGAGCATTCCTTTGAAAAAAAAAAAAAAAATCACTTTGCTAGAACAGTGATAATAAAACAATGCTCCATAAGTCTGTGTGCTCCAAAAAATAAATACATAATACAATCCCTTTGCTAGAACAATAACTTATAATACTTTGCCATCTGTGCAAAAAAATGAAAAGAAAGAAAATGCTGATATTTGGCCAAAAAGTGTGTCTTATCACAGCATTAGTAGTAGCTGCAATGAGCCTGTTTTGCACTGCACATTTCTTCAAAACGGGGTTGCAGGCTCAGTGGCGGCGCCAGAGATTTCTTTTGGGGATGCTGTGGGGTAGCTTGACGTTTCATAGAGGGTGCTCAAACATTTAGGGTTTCCCATTAATGTACCAGGCGCTACAGTGGAATTTTGTACTGCAACAATCCCCACGCAAATACACAGTGTACCCGCGACAGTTACAATGAAGGCTCGATAATCAGCTCACGGCATATAGGTGTAAGCAGGGGTAAAGTGCTATTTTTATATAAGTGGTGTGTGGACCTCACATAGGGGGGTCCGGGGGCATGCTCCCCCGGGAAGATTTATTTTTTTAAATGTTGAAGTTAAAAGCATCAATCTGGTGCACTTTGAGAGCAACATGAAGAGATCTATGGATACATCTCTCAACACCCATATGAAACAGAACTGTAAACAGATTTACTTTTTCTTTATGGATATTTTACTAATCACTCCCCTTTTAAACTGTATTCTTGTTTTACTGTCATATAGTATTTCATACCTGTTTTTCATTTATTCTCTTATTTTTTTATAACTATAATGATCATATTATAAACGTGTGCCTCGGAAATAATTGTTTACATTAAATCGTGACCAAACCGTTTGAGACCCACTGAGATAACTTAGACTAAAGTTAACCATCTAAACACTCAGAGAGTCCTTTAGCTCACTGAGCCTCTCAGTCTGACAGCAGAGGACTCTCCTCCAGCTTGTTGTTGAAAAAGCTCCTTATATCCGTTAGCGTATGTTTTTTCATATTGGATATGGTATGTTATTGGTTATGGGCATGATTTTATGATTATTGAAATGTATACAGTTCTGTTTCATATGGGTGTTCTGTCCCCATAGATCTAGTCTCTTTATTTCCCCCTCAAAGTGCACCAGATTGATGCATTTAACTCCAAAATTTAAAAATAAATCGTACCGGGGGAGCATGCCTTCGGACCCCCCTAGAGGATTTGAGGTCCACCCCCACTTAAAATCACATGGACAGGTTCCTAAATACATTTACAATTGTATTTAAATAGTAACCCCTGTCCATATATTTATTTGTGGGTAGTAGATTTAAACTATAGGGCTATCACTATGGGCAGCAACGCTGTAAATATTGACAAATAAATCCAGCAAAATGGCACAAAAAAAACTGGTAGTTGCCTGGCTGGGTGTATCATTTCCGGCTTGACTTTTTTTTTTTTTATTGTCTCGGTCCGGCCCTGGCTGTACCTGTTCGCTCTGCCATCGCGTGAAGGGTATGCTCACAAGCGACCACCATCGGTTAAGCGACCAACATTAACCGGCATCAACAGTTGGTTAATGTTGTTGTTGCACGTCACCTCACCTTGTCACCTCACCACCTCACCTTGTCACCTCACCACCTCACCTTGTCACGTCACCACCTCACCTTGTCACGTCACACCCCCCCCAGTCATTCAAATAAAACCACAGAAGTAGTTTAATTCAATGCAGATGTGGATATGTTTTATTTTCATTTCACTGACACCAGAAAGTGTTTCTTTCTCCTCATAATGGACATGACAAAGAATGCAATTGTAATATTATTTGTGTATGAACACTGTGTAATCACAGAGCAAGAATACACAATCTAACGTTTCTACAAGTCATTCCCACCTACACCGTAGGAGCGTTCTGCATGCATCAGTAGAATCAACACCCTGTCACATAGCACTGCATAATAAATACATCATGGAAAAACCGAAAACAAGTCAATGCTACATTATTTTTCTAGTAAAACTGGATTTAATGCAGTTCGAGCAAAATAAATACCCTGCTCGAAAAGCAATGTATCTATATGTTAAGGAAAACAGAAACGATTGATCGGTTAGTAAAATGGTTGCTGGTTTATTTTCTATTGAGTGAGGCCAACGAGTGAACCTACTAGAGCATCTGGTGATGAGAGCCATCATTTTAAGGCTTCTTTGACAGTGGTGAATGAAAATATGCGAGAAAGCGATCAAGAGAAGAATTCCTGACTATGTAACATGTTTCAAAACATACAATAAATCAGTTACTACTTTAATTTAGCCAATAACTCAACCCCAGCAATTCACAGTAGTTCTGCCAGCTGTTGTTAATCAATACAACACAGGGATATGTGGGTAAAAGTAGCAGTCAATGTAATACTGAGGCATCATGTTCACTAGATAACGGTGTTGAAGCTTGTTTGTTTCTGGGCTGACATAATTACTGCCATAACTATATGCTACAGCCTGTACATGTAGAACTGATTAGGAGAGACACAATGTCAGCTTGGACTTATGTGACTAAATGAGTCTCTGGTGAATGTCTGAGGTTGACAGCATCAAGCATTGAGAATAAACATGACAAAGTGTGGTTAACAGAAAAGTCACTGCATGGGAAAAGGCAGCATGAGCATCTCTTAATGTACTGTTGCCCCCTACTGGACAACTGCATATTCACAGTTGGATGGATGAAAGTGTGAATGTAAAGTCAGATTTTTACAAAAACAGAGCAGGGGCACAAAGCTAACGATGCATTAAAACCCCAGATGAACCTAAGATCAAGATGGTTAGAGCACCGCATTCTTATTTATAGAGTAAGCAGGTGGGAAATTGCTGAATGGCACCACTAATAAACGGAATGGTTGATAATAAATCTTCAAAAGATTCATTCTGAGTTTAATTGACTTGCTCCCTCATTTTGTTTTCCATAACTTTCCTCTTGGATTACAGAAAGAATATTCCTTAAGGGGGCACACTTTGTGGACAGCTTCTATCCAGAGACCCAGACTGATCACCAGTACATCCAAACACACATTATGGATTCAACAGCTGGCAGTCTTCCAGTGAAAACAAAGCATTTATCATCACTAGATTATCTGGTGATTGTAAGGCTGCATCTAAGATATCATCTCTGTAACACAGCTTTAACTTAAGGCAAATTAGTCTATTCTCTCCATCCTGTTCACAGCATGAGACCGGCTGAGACACAGCTCCCAGACACGCTGCATAATGATCTTGTGTTCACCATGTTCCTAACACGGATGGAGGGTATACTGAGTAAAGTCTGGCCACTTTTAAACTGTTCATGCCTTAAGAGCGGCAGGAACCCAAAGTCCAAAGAGGACCCACATGGTCCAACTCTTCTAATGCAGAGAGTAAAGCAACAGCATTTGTTTTATGATCATTATGGCTGGCTGTCCAAGTTTGACTAAATGAACTAACATCAGTCATTAAACAAAAGCGCATAGGAAGTGATTTAAGGTTGTATATCATTGAGCTAAAACAAAGCTGAAGAAGTAGAGTGGTCCTGATAACAGAGCATTTTCTATCACCATGGAAATGTTAAATGATCCCCTCACATAACGGCAGTAGTTGGCATTCTGAGAAATAAAATAATAAAAATATATTCTAAGATGCCAGAGGCTGGTGCTAAAACAATCACAGAGAAATTACTATGAGCCAAGGCATCTGGTTAAAGAGGCACATTTGAGCATATTTTACAATTTGCCTCATTCTCACCTAAAAAGTAGAGTCAGATTTCACTGGTCTAGTTATGCAGATCAGGTACTCTTGATTTACAAATACTCAGCCTTATTTGTGAAGGCAGAAAAAGAGACTGCGCAAAATACATTTGAGCTTTATACAGTCTTTTATTCCTCAGTGCAGAGTAGGCCCTGGTGTTGGGAGGTGAATAAATGAAACTCTTTGGATGGTATCGATTAAATCGCCAGTCACAAATACAGACATTTACCATGTGCTTTCATGTCAGAGGAGAGATAGACCCTGTCTGTTTAAGTGGGATCTATAAGGACAGATCAATCAGTGCTTCACCGCGCTGGGCGATGTTAAGTATCAATCCTCACCGTGGACCATGAGGGCACTCAGTCATGGGCCGACCTTTCAAGGTTCAAGGTTCAAGGTTCTTTATTGTCAATCTGACATAGCTACAGAGTAATTATGCAGTTGAAAATCTTATGTCACAGGCTTCTCCAACAATGCAACATAATAACATAACATAATAACAATAAGAGCATGAGCAATACAAAAATAATAATAGTTATAAAAATGAAATAAAGTTATGATGTGGAATAGTGCAGTACGAGTCTATATACAAGTTATTGGAATGATATATATATATTAGGTATTAGATACATACTACTGAGTAGCAGATGAATGTTTGATGTTGTTTCAACAGTTCAATTTTTTAACAGTCTCACTGCCCGCGGGAAGAAACTGTCTTTACCTTACAACCAACCTCACAACGTTCCCCTATAGAGCTCAACACCACATACTGAGGAGGTGATGTCTTTGTTTAAAAACAGATTACAAAAAACAACAAAAAGTGTATTTTACCTCTGGCAAAAATACAGTGCACGATTACCATTTTATTGTTTTTCACCAGGGAGAGGCAATCATTTAGAAAGTAATGAATCGAGGAACTGGCATGTGAGTCCAATAGAAGATGAAAGCTTGAGTCTTAAATGCTCCTCCATTGCATTGCTAGAAATACCAACAGAATATCTTCAAGGAACAGTCTTATGCATTCATTGTGTTAGTTAACTATCTTACAACTCTGTGTTTGTCTGTAGTACCCGACATGACCGGGTACTTCTAATCAAATCAAATATGGTGCAATATCCAAGACTGCATGTACAGATACTTCTGATTTTAAAGACAAAGATTCAGTATCTTGGCCAATTTCCACAAAATCCAATGAGTTAAAGTCAAAACAAACATGGAAGACGTGCACACGCTACACAACCACACACAGATCAATGCAAAAAATAAATGCTATAATCAACATAATCACACAGAAATTAGTCTGGATTTCATCTGGAAAGGTGATTAGAGTGAATAAATGCATTTCCACAGATTAAGTATGATCTCCAGTTATACATAATACTTCATTGAAGAAACCCCTCCCACATTGTGGCTAATGGGGGGAAACTAATCTTGATAATGAGAATCAGGGCATGCATTTTTGCACCCATTTAAATCCTTTGAGTTCTTCATTTCGAACTGTAATACTTGCATGCAACACATTCTCTTTGAGCAGGGAGCGATACACTAGTAAAAACCTTCTGGCTTTAAAGTCATACCTTGTTTTGAATCTGCTATGAAAGCCTTCGTCATGGGTAGATCATTAATGGAACACGCGAACAATCTTCTGCGCTGCTTTATAAATGAACTTTAGGCCCACTTACCAGCCTCTCAGCTTGTGTGCCTCGGGGATGTCTGGGTTGATCATCATGGTGCTGTTAAAGGATGCAGAGAGGGAGCGGCCTCCGAAGTCTGAAAGCTTTGCCCCCTTAACGACTATGATGGGCTGACCAGAGCCTTCAAACGTCTCTGCCTACAGGAAACAAAGAAATATGGACAAAGGACAAACATTTGTCAAAACTTTTTTAATACTTGGATTTAACTGGATTTCATTTCTTCCGTTTCACATCAACGTTTTGGTTCCGTGTATGAGGTTGAGAATCCTGTGGTGCTGTGAGGCTGTTCTGTGAGGTAGCTCATGCTAACATGCTGATGATTAGCGGGTATAATGCTAACAATGTTCACCATCTTAGTTTAGCATGATATGGTTTGATATTTAGTTTTACAGGTTTTTGGTCATAACCACACAATTTGACAATGGGAAATGTTGACCTGATGGTGACAGTGAACGAAGAATTAAGGAATCACCAAAGTCTCTACAATGTATCCAGTCTGAAACATGACATCTGTGACAAATTGTATTAATCTTGTGTGAATCTGTGCTGTACTTTCGCTCTTTCCCTGTTGCTGCTTAAACTCCTGAATTTCCCCACCGGGATCCATAAAGGTCAATTTTATCTTATCTTAAATTCCGATGCAATCCATTGGAAAGTAAGATATTTCACTTGTCTAGTTGAAAAGGTCTAGGGAAAGCAGTAATTTTAGAGATTAATCATCTGCGTACTATGAATATTAATCTATCCAATAGTTATTAATGTATTTCGGTCAAAAGGGGTCGGACGGACTGAGATAGCAAAAAAGCAACTCGCTTGCCATCCTGAGAGCATCAAAGCTATGAACTATGAACACATGTCAGTTCAGGTCAAAGGTTTTTGAATAGTTGTTATAAAAAATGTCTTTACTTGTTTCTTAGGTCTTCAGCGCTATTGACTGTAATAACCTGAGGACATACACTGAGAAAAAAACTATAGAGAAAAGAGGGTGCAACAGTACAGCCTTCAGAGGCGGGGGGAAATATTTCCAACACTTGCTTTTTTGTTTATATACTATACATCTTGTATACCTCAGCAGGTCCCTGTGGAAAAGGGGTATGTGTCGAAAAACCAAACAGGGAACACTGTGCTTGTTGTCGGGAGGAGAGGGATGTTGGCCAACTCTACAGTCCCTGTGAGCCACAGGTAAAGATCAGCTGCAAACGCAGTTCCTTTATCTCCCCATGACAGCCACTTCAGTCAACAAATTCCATCCACATTTAACACACATTGTTAAGTGTCTTTGTTTGTCTAACTGCTTGATAATGCATTGAACAACCATTCTAACTTAACACCAAAAAGTTGAACATTATGGAGATTTATAAAGGTGCAGGCTTTTTGTATTGTACATTAATATGATAATGTGTGATCCAGCCTACATTTAAGCTTCAGGCATTTATAATAAATAGTTGTTCTCAGATGATGATTAACATTTTTCTCCCTGTGTAATATCTCACCTCTTCTCCCCACAGCGTGAGAGTCACCACCTTCCCAGACATGTCCATCAGGTTGAGCGTCCTCTTGGACACTTCTTTGTTGTTCTTTGTGATGATGCGGGTCACATCATCCACACTCTTGCACACGCCAATCACATCTGTAATGGAAGAATGAGAATCAATGCACTGGCAGCAGGAGGGTTTTCTTTTGTGACATGACTAATTGAAATGATGGTATTGATTCAGTTTTCCGACCACTTATCCCAATTGTTCACAGATATACATATCATAAATATTGATTGTGGTGTTTACGCCCACAGGTCACTCTAGGTCCCATGGCTTCTGGCACAAATTGGCTCATGGGAAATAAGCGATTCATTAATTTCAAATTAGGTGTGAGGTCACTGGCCTGTGTGCCATGCACTAACATCCATAATGTAAAAGAGAATCTATAAAAATAGGCTATAATTGTTTCCAAGGAATATTATCAAGCATAATGTATTGAAAAATGCACTCAAACATGATATCTGCAGAGATATGTCTGTGAAAGGTATTGAGTAGAGTGGCATCGCCAACGTTACTCATCTTCTATAAACCCCGCTCCTACTGATTAAAAGGATTTTAAATGAATGAACCATGATGAACAAACCTTAAAGTTTGATGTCGGGTGGTAAGCGGTAGAGAATTACTCCAACAGCAGTGCAAGCCGCAGTCTTCATTAAAAGAATTACACGCCGTCTCCCTAATATTACTTCATTTTACCTGTGCACAGCAGGTTCTCATTTTCTCATCGGCTCCGCCATAGGGCCCAAAGTCAATCTGCACTACAGGCTATTACTGTCATCAGTATTATTAATACCACTTTTATCCCTCTGCTCGTACGCTGTAATTATCTCAACCTCACAGAATATCCGGCTCTACGTTCTGCTACAAACTCTATCCTTCTGCTTATTATAGCTTATTATTATGTGCTCAGTTTAGTTGAGCTTTTAACATTTAACCAGTGCTTTAGAGCAGGGCTTCTCAAACTCCGGACCAAGGTCCGGATCCGGACCGAACTGCAAATCAATCCGGACCGAACCCTGTGTCCCATTATATAAAAAAAAAAAATTATTAAAAAAAAAAAAAAAAAAAAATCTGATTCTGATAAATTAATGTACATCACGCGTGTTATGTACGCGCGTCTTGTGTCTGACGCATAGTGAGAATGAACGTGCATATATATATTTACTTGTGTGCGCGAGCGTGACACTCATTGAAGACCGCAAGTTAACCGCAAGTTTACCTTGACTTTCTAATGCTTCTAATGCCTTTTTTGCCGAGGTTCAAGGCATTGGCTACAGACAAACAGCCAAGCCACCATACTGTATGTATGTATTGAATGTGTGAGTGTATAAAGCGGCGCCGTTTGCCGACAGGCAAGGCAGGCAAGTGCTTGGACCAGAAGGGGGCCCCCAAAGAAGGTAGATTAAGAAGGTCCACAGCAACGACAACATGGAACACCCTTTCATTTACTGCAATGACATGTCGGGAAAACCCCTCAATGGAGCCCCATGCATAGAGCGCCATAAGAAACTGCTTCTTAATTTCAATTTCGTTTCGGGGGGGTGGGGGGGTGACTTTACTGGCATTGATCCGGACCAGTGACCTTGTATAAAGTTCACAAGTGGACCTTTAATAAAAAAGTTTGAGTACCCCTGCTTTAGAGTATTAGATTTTTGATTTGATTGCCTCCCATAGTCCAAGCCCTTTGTAAAAGGGAAATAATGTGCATTTACACACATAGAAACAGGAGACACAAACTAGCTACCTGTAGTGTGTTGCCCTGTACATTCACTAATGGGCAAGTGTTCAATGCTCCCCTACGCACCGTGTTATTTCATTAGTTCAGGGTACTTAATACATAACACATCAAAAAATGGGCCAAATGAAGCACACATTTAAAAACAGAAAACCCCACACTACTACAACAATGCAACATACGAACAAACTGGTCCTCAAGCTCTGCCCTGAAAGGGTTTACAAGGTCTGAGTCATAAACCTTGGACAGTGTGCAGTAGAGCCTGAAAGGTTTCTCAAACGCAAAAGTCCATATACCGTTGTGGTCCATCTAGCTGCTGGTAAAAAATATTTTAAACAGTAAGAGAAGACTTTGTTTAGGAGGTGTGGCCAGCTAAGAGGAATAAAAGTGGATCCAACAAGGACAAATCCTTATTCAAGCCTGTTAAACAAATCTTTGAACCAGCTACAAAGACAACAAACCAAAAAGGGATGAACAGATCCAATGTAGTTATTCCTCCACCATATATTTGTATCCTGTTAGGACTGTAGGCTGGTTTTATTTAACATCTTACATGGGCTTCTTTTAAATGTTTTATTCAGCTGTTCTCTTTGTTACAGTACTCTGGGGTTTTAAGAAAGTTTCCCTCATTTATTCCATCCACTTTCTCCCTCTAAACATATCTAGAAGCACCTATAATAATTACTAACAGCCAAAAAATGTGCTTAGATTTCTAAACCAAACTTTTTTTAAACATCAGGTTTGTGCTGATGGGCTCTTTGCTTTATTTATAATAGTTTGTCATGTCTTTGCATATGCAGTTAGGGCTGCAGGCTGTATTTGTCTTATAATACAGACTGATGGAAAAACTGATGGAGGGGTTGAGAAATGTCGTTATCACTTGTGCTACTTACCAATAATGGCATCTTTTTCCCTGACCTCCAGGTCACCGATGGATACAAAGTCACACTGCAGCACGGGAACATCACCTGCGTCTTCACAGGGGATGATGCTGGAGTCTCCGTTGAGAGTCATCTCATAATCATTCTTCACCGATGTGTACTGCTTGTTGGCAATCTTCAGGGAGCCCTTGGAGATGTAGTAGACCTGGGCCGTACAGATGGATGAACCACGTGTTAATCAGAGATCTGGGGAGCATTTCACCTGACTGAATGGTGCAAACAAGATACAAATTCAGACAGTCGGGGGGATCAACATAGGCTGGCAGAGGATCATAAGCTGCTTATTGTATGGGCACAGTGAAGCCAGATGACTCATTCATAGTCTCTGTGGTTTTAACTCAGTACTGGCAGCTGTTGATAGAACCGTGTGCGGCCAAATCCGTCTTAAACATCACAGTGAAAGACAGTTTTTAAAGATAATTAGGACTGGGGATGGATATCAAAAACCCCTTATTACACATCCCATGGGGCTACATTTTTAGAGATTGTGTTGTTCCCGGTCCAACATTACTGGTTCTTTTGTTGGTACTTTTGATGTCATTTATTATCATGCTGCAGCATCTCCTCTGCTCTCCGTGTTGGGGCTGAGCTTCTCCAGCTACGCTTGTTAAGTGCAATAAATCCTCAGCAAGTATAAATGCCAATACCTAGTCAATACAACATGTTGAACAAGAATTACCATAGAAAAGTGATATTTCAATCAGCTCTGTTTGCAGTTTCTCATCCAACGCTGCTATGTTTTGTATAGGCACGGAATGCTAAGCTCAGCTAATAGTTTATTGTTACAAACAAGCTAAAACAAAAGCTTATATATATATATTTGAAAGACAATTATTCACTAATGAAAAAGCACCAATGAGTACTTTGATCGAATCCTGACGTTGCCCATCCGTAATAAGGACACAATGAATAATTATCTGAAGTAACGTCTCACCTTGCCAACTTCAATAAGGCTGAAGAACTTGTCCACCTCTTGGTTGAAACCAGTCACTCGAATCTCTCCCTGAAATCAAATATAAAATGTGATTAGAATATTAAAGTAGGATTACAAACTAATGACATCGTGTTGCCAGGTTAGATAAGATAAACAAGGACAGTGGGACCACAATAACACTCACACTCTCATCCACCATCTCCATGGAGAAGAGTTTGCCGTCCCCACGAGAATTGCTCCACGTACGGATGCCGCTCTTGTTGGTAATGCGGGCGCGGACGGTCCACCTAGCGGACAGGGAAAAGGTTCATTGTTTGAGTATTTTTGGGTAAATGTAAGTGCCACATTGACCAAGAATGCAATAAATACTTCCTGGATCCTGACCATTACGGATGTTGAGGCCAATACCAAAATTCATATAGGAACAATAAAAAAATCTGATATACAATTGTGAGCTGTGCGGAGGACATTAACATTTTACAAGATATTTTAAAAGTTGTAGTGCTCACTAGTTGAAAGATGATGTAGACACTGATTGTATTTGTGTTGTTTATCTCATAACTATTTGCAGTAATGTTTTTGATACTGTCTGAAACAAAGCAAAAAGCACCCTTTTGGCATTTTCTACTGAATTAGAAACATACTCACTTGGACTGATAAGGGTTGAGGCTGGCGATGGGCACAACTTTGGAGCTGCCCCCTGGAGTACTGGGCATATTGGATGGGTTATTTTTCTCAAAGTCCTTATTGAAAACTCTTGGCACTGTTGGAGGAATCAAGAATGAAATAAATGATCCATGAACAGTAGTGATGGAGAGAAGTCAAAAGAGAGGCACATGCATTATTCATCAGAGACAAATTACTAAAATCCAATTTCTTTGGATTGCAACTGCTCGATCAATGTAATTATCTCACTTCACAAGGGAAGTTTCAAAGAAAAGCCTAATGACTTCAAGTAAATGTGCCACCCCAGCCAGAGGAGAGACTCCAACAGGAAACAAAAATCTTGTCAAGTGGAGTTGTCGGAGATGTGCGATCCTGCATTTTGGTGTGAAGGATGATTCACATTTCACAGAATCAGGGCAGAGTGTGAAATGCAATAACAAACTGTAGCTGCTTTTCCTCAGTAGAGCAGTGCCGCCTGGCTGAGATTTTCCGTTTGAACAAGCGCTGCACATTTGATTTGTGTGCGTCTCACGCGGAGGATTAGAGTTCAAAGTGTCCACTTAAGTCTTCCCACTTTGCCAACCACTGCACTTCTGGTAATTAAGCCCCCAGATCAACCAACACACAGAGAAATTAACAATAACTTTGCTGATGAAGAGGATGCTTGCCATAACCTCAATTCCCACACGGGAGATTAGAGGGATGAATACCTGCTATGGCACACACTAGAAATACAGCAAACCCCCTCCGACAGCTGGATTGCACATCCCTCCTGCTCAAAGTTATGTGCGATGCTGTGATCCAGTGCGTATCTTTGACATGAACAAACTTGAAAAATAAACCTGTTTGCTAAAATAAACTCTCCAGGTGTGTTGCTTTGCATTTGTTTTGTGTATTCTACTGTGCATTCAAAAAAAGCAATTGACAGGCAAAGGTAGAAACGGCTAAGCATAGACACAGACTCATAGTTGTCAAAGTGAATGATAGCAAGAGCTCTGGAGACTTGTGAGTTTCAATAAAACAGTGAAAAAACTCAAGAATGCAAACAAATGAAAAAACAGGCTGTCAAAACGACTTTTGTCCAGTAAACCTGTGGGTCACCCACATTACAGAAAGCAGCAGAGAAATGCTGCCACCTGGTGTTTACTTTTATGAAGTATGTTCAGAACAAAATGCAAATGCCCATTTTAATTCATGTTCCAAGAATTAATATCAAGACTTCTGCTGCTCACCTTCTTTTTTATTTTGCTGCAGTAGCGGTGCTCGGATTTCAGAGCTTGGTGCTGACTGTGGTCCTTTGATCTGACCTGCATGGAAGATTTGACATTAGTATAAACCAGCAATAAAACTATGACCAATTGTGCATGACAGTAAATTAAACTCACTTACCACTGCTCCAAGACAAACATTAACTATTCAGTAAATAGCAGATATCATTATGAAACCTGTTTTGAAGGCTTACCATCATTGTAAGGAGTCGGGTCGCCAATTCTTCCTGCAACCTCTTCAGCAGGCTGGACGACTTCGATTTCCAAAATGATCACGACCCGTCTGTAACAAGAAAACATTGTAAGCTGCAGAAAATAGCAATGTTTCCATTTACCTCTGGAAGGTAAATACTAAATATGTCTAAAATATAGTCAACACAATTATACAGTCAGTGAGCAAATTCTTAATATGAAAACAAGACATGTTGAAAAACTGCATACCGTTTATCCTTCAGTATGTTGGTCACATGTCTCTTTAGAATGCAGACGCAGTTCGGGGCCAGTAAGTCGTCCTCGACCATGAAGTTCAGCTGCGTTGAGAGCATGAAGGCTGCAAAGGAGAAGAAAAGTGAGGAAAGAAAATCAGACTGCCAGACAAGGATCATTCAACTAAGGGAAATAACTGCTCCTTAAAACAGGCAGTCTTTAACCCCATCTGACATACAAAATGTAATGAAGCATTTCATTGGCAACCACACTCACATTTTAAACAGAAAACATTTATTAAGGAGATCGTAAATCTTAAAAGATGGTTATATATCTGAATATTGGCAACCACACTACCATATTTTCCTAAACAATTATTAGAGAAAAACAATTTTTATTTTTTTATTTCTATACTTTATTCCACCTTTTAAATATTTGAATGCGTGATCACATTGCTGCTGTAACACTATCATTTCCCAATTTGGGATCAATAAAGTATCCATCCATCCATCTATCCATTATTCAGTCACAACAAAAAACTAAAAGATTCACAATGTCCGTTAAGGATCTAAATCTGCTTATTTGTATTAATGTGATAGGAAATATGTACTCTAACATGCACACAAAAAACAGGAAAACAAAAACCTAACTTACAGGATAGTGTGTGCACGCCATCACTCATCATCACCCGATAGCGAGCTGGACCACTTCCTCCATCAATCTTGCGAATGTTCTGAAAGGGATATACAAGTAAAACCATTCAATATGAAATACAGAATGGCACAATAGGACGAAAAATATTTTTGGGGGAAGGCAAACCAAAATATGAAAATCTATTCAATGTGGAGGACTCTCAAAAGAGAAATTAAGAGAATTCATTCATCTGGAGCAGAGAAAATCATCTTGTCCTGAACAGAACAAGGATTACAGAAATAATCATCGAGTTCAGAACAAAACAATATATAAAAGCATCTATCCTTAACTACAGCCAACCAATTAAAATAACACACTCCTCTAAGTTCTTTGGTAAACACATAGCAATAACCTTAAATGGGACATCATGTTAGGCAGAGTCAATTTAACAGCCAGAAATCCTGAGCATCCTGTAATTTTCAATCTCACACACACACACACACACACACACACACACACACACACACACACACACACACACACACACACACACACACACACACACACACACACACACACACACACACACACACACACACACACACACACACACACACACACACACACACACACACACACACACACACACACACACACACACACACACACACACACACACACACACACACACACACACACACACACACACACACACACACACACACCACACACAGACACACACACACACACACACACACACACACACACACACACACACACACACACACACACACACACACACACACACACACACACACACACACACACACACACACACACACACACACACACACACACACACACACACCCCTGAAGTTTCATTTGTTGTTGTGAGCTGACCCCCCCTATATTGTACTATGTTCAATTAGGAGTCGTCATGGTCTAAAAATGTATTTTTTTCAAAAATGATAACACACTGACGATACATTTTGGTTTTCAGAAGTCTTCCTCAATCAGATTCAAAAAGGCACCACCATTTATGAAATGGAGGAGGAGATAATGGGGGTTAGTGCGAGTGGTGTAAATCTTATTGATTATTAGTTACCAAATGCCGCAACAAATTAATTCTGCAGTCTTATGCAGTGTGTAGACTGTAACGTTGAGAAAACATTCAATAATAACATATTGTGTTACTCACCACCAACTGAAGCACAGCATCGTTGCTACCTTTGCTATTGGACAGAGCCTGAAAACAAACAAAAAGTGAATTAACACAAACTGCGTCAGCTTAGCCATCTGTTGTCGAGTTTGAAGGATAACAACATTTCTAATGTTGCATTAAGCTAACTGACGTTGGTTAAATTACAACATTAGCTAGTAATGGAAACAACTGAACAAAGACTACAATTATAACTGCACAAAATCATCTTTAACATTTTTCAGCATTGTTCCGTTTTGAAAATTAGATAAACCTTACCTCTATGGCACCCTCTGAGAGCTTCGTCATGTCTGTGAGTAGATAATATGGATACGAAGAGAAAATGTACTTAAATGTTTGCTCCAACTCTATGCTTCCACCGCTGACAACTTGGTGAATTGTGATGGTGGCGCCAACAGCTTGGACAAACGCGCGAAGCTGCAGCAGTTTCCGCTTCCGTTCACAGATCTGACGTCAGTTTGCATTCTGTCAGCAGCGTCAATCCATCGGCATGAAAACACTGTAAAACTGACCGGAGACCAGCTGTGTGAAAGTTAGCGCCAAACATAACGTGACGTCAGGTGCTTTATAGGATGCGTTCACTGCCAGAGCAAAATGGGACACTTCAGACTCGACCATAACTCATATTTTAGAGAGGATGTAAAGTTGACATCCTAAATATGATTTATCGTTTTTAATATTGTATACAAAACCTTTTTAATTTTTCTTAGGATTCAACGTAAACATTATTGGGTGTGTAAAAAGGTATTTTACAAAAATAATGAGTGATTGCAACTCCCACCTTTTTATTGCAGTCAATCCATAACGCATCATGGAATCAACAAGAATGGTAAAATAACATCAGGCCTTCATAAACACGCTTCTGTTTCATCATTTCCCAGTTTTGTCAATATATTAGTTTAACTTCAGATTAAAAATAACTTTTAAGAATGATGTGATTAAAATAAATTATATTTCTCAGCCCATTAGATGACATCTTTAAAAATGCAATTACATACACAATGATGCAGTAATGCTGTCACATTGGCATTGCATTTGGATCTACATGTTTACTCAAGCAATTAAAACAAGCTGAGGAGATATTTTACTGTGGTGTTTAACCATTTATTTTATCTAATTATAATTGTAAGTGTTGCTTGACCAGGACATGTAATCTAATGTAGCAAGAATGTCATTTTTGTAAAGAAACATTTGGTTTTACATGAGATACTGGGCTTCTTAGTGTGTTTATTGTACAAGAAACAAAGACACACATAAACAATATGTTTCCACACACATTTCAATCCAGATAAGTGATATTGTGTATTTACTCTGTACAATTATAGAGATCTTGTTCTGGGTTTTCTCTGGTACAGCAGTGCAGGTATTAGTCCCTACTTAGGTGGGCCTCCGAATGAGGCAACCTGATTCTTATCAATTGGGAATCCCACTTTATCTTTGCTTGCTGATTCTCCTCTCTGAAAGATAGGAGCTCCAGGATTTGGGTTGTTAATGACACCCATGAAAATTGGCACTTCTGTCAGATTATCTATAAGTGCAAAGAAGAAAGGTTGGCTGAGGTGGAAAACAGGGTTTGATGCTCGTGAGATCACCACCGTTGTGGCCGCGGCTGCCTCTGCACCCTCCTCATTTATCTCAAAGCTGGACTTATGCATCACACTGGAAACCAGCAGGGGGCCGTCTGCAATTCCGGCCAAATTGGGACTGGAAAACATGTCTCCAAGGCCTAACACAGATCAGAGAAAACATGGTCAATTAAAAAATGTGTTTGATACATAACAGTTTGTTTTTGTGTGCTTAATATCATCACTTAAAGGTGGGGTAGCTAATTTTGGAGAAACCAGCTCGAGATTGCTAGAATTTGAAAATAGACAGCCGGAAAAAAGCCGGGCCGGGTCGTGCTTTTTACAGTATTACGGCTTCCACAGATGACGTTTTTTTATGGATTTTTTGTCAAAGCACTTAAGATATTCATTGCTATCGGGATGTTAAGAGCATTCCATGGAATATAACAAAAAGTGTATCTCAAGCCGGTTTCTCAAACTTACCTACCCCACCTTTAAACATTGTCCATGGGATATAGTGAAGTCTTACCCAATTTGGTAAACACATCTTTTAGGTCTTGAGCATACTCCAGTTTGAATTTGGGGACTTTAACTAGAACAGCCCTTGCCTTGGGCAGGCGACTATACAGGTCAGAGATATTCAGCTTTGCGATTAGTGAAGACACATTCAACTGCCCGGACATGGGCATAACCACCAGCAAACTCATTGACTTCCGGAATGGGAAACTCGCCACCTGCACAGAAAGATAGAATTGTGTTGTAGAAAACTTGGTTTCTGTCATAGATTCATCATTATTTCCACATAAGACTGAGGCAAGTGTTATTGATTAAACTGTAATTTACCTGGGCCTCCAATTCATTATCAATAAATAAACTCAAGGGATGTTTGGCGTCTTCCATCACTTCAACATCAACCATGTTCTTATCGTCAAGGTAGAACACACCTCTGGAGGTAAAGCGTGGGTCAAATCGAGCCATCCACTCTCCTGTGAGGAACATGGGTCTTACATTTATTCAGCAATATAAAACAAACTAAAGTAGCTGCATTTATCAGCTGCAAATCAGCATCCATGATTTTTAGAAAGAGGCTCATTTTGTTGACAATGACATTTTACCTTTGAAATGGACAGCATTTATTAGCATGAGGAGCACGTTGGGTGGCAAAGCAGGCAGGAAGTCAGTCATCTTTCCGTTCGTTGCATTCTCTACCCAGCCGTTTATCTGGTCCAGGCTCTCCAACACTGCTGGCTCTGAGGCATATAACCGCTGGGATTCATGGACAAATTCCTGCTTTGGCTCAAACCCTAAAACACATAACACATACTCTCTCAGGCTGTATTTCTCTTCAGTCGTCTCATAAGGGTCAGCACCAATAGGTTACAATAGAAATATTAAGAAAAGGAACATTCTGCAAGTTTAGTCTGAGCTTTTAATATGGTATTTCTAGAAAGTTACCTTGGCGCAGGAAGATACGTGTGGCAATTCGCAGGTCACTGTCTCTGAGATATGCCAAGACATTATAAAGAGACTGGTGGTAGCAGGGGAGAGTGTGTTCATGGAGATGGTGCATCAGCAGCTCCTCTGTCTCATTTACTGCGCCTGCAGAAGAGGTGCAATAATTGGATGATAAAATAATCCCCAGTGGGATATAAACCTGGGCAAGTTGCTGACACAATTCATAAAATATTGTAATTGGTTATATGTAGGGAAGAAGCTGTTTGGGTACAATGTGTCATGTAAAAGCTGCAGCAGGACATGCCTACCTAAAGCCAGTTGGGAGAGCGCTAATGATATGCTCAAAGGACTTATGATGACATTTGGCTGCTCTGGTGTTGTCTCCAGGTTCTGCAGCAGCTGCACACCCAGTTTCTGCATGGCTGCGGCAATGGCCTCCTTGGACTCTGGGCTTCGGCCAATAGACAGGCAATTTTCTTCTTCTTCCTCTGATGAGCTTCCATTGGAAATACTAGGTATGGTTGTTGCAGTTACATTCTCTTCTGTGCTATTTGCTGTTTCTGGTTGGGCTGTAGTTTCATTTTCTACCGTCTAAAAGCAGCAGTAGAAGAACATGTTAAGTTCAAGGAAAGTTTAAATGGTATGACACGACAAGCACAATGGGAGAAATAAAAACATCTTAACTGATTAACATCTTACCTCTATGGGGTGGCTAGGCATCAAAGGAATGAGAGGCACCAGAGGGATTGAGTCATTTTCTGCTACCTCGGCTTTCTGATAAAAAAAAACAAGATACTATAAGAGAACAGTGTATACATGCTTTGTATAATCAGCATTCATTTTAATCATGCAGCATTATCTTGATATTGATTTATGAGTTATGTCAGTGCTTTACAGTGACTCCTTGGCTGCAGAGACAGATCAACAGGAGTGTCAGATGAAGGTCCATGTCCTTACTATGTAACTGTGAAAGAGAGACATTATGTTAACAACCATACCGCTTGTGTTCAAAATTCTTCAAAATTCTTCACTTTTTGGTCATTGGTTCTTAGCTGTATTGTTTGTAGGTCTCAAACATTTCACTCTACTTAGTTGCTCTTTCTTGTATAGGAACACAGTTTTCAGCAGTTATCAAGGCTTTTCGAACCATTATATGAAAACATTTTGTTGTACTTTGAGGGACAGAAATTCCACTTGTCAGGCAAGATATACCTCTGAGTGTATTTGCATTGTGGTGCCTATAATCGTTATTTAAAATAAATTACATTTCTACATTTTTTTTAAATAAAAATAATTTAAAAGTCAAAACTATTGTTTTAATGCTCTTCGTATCCAGTCACAATTTATTTCAGTGGATTATACTCTACCTTTTTTGTAGATTTAAACTTAAAATATTACGTTAACAGCTTTATATTCAGAAAGTATTGCTTGTTCCTCTTTTTATCCAGAGACGCACAGTACTTGAATTACATTGTTTCTTCCTTTAACTATAATTCTCAATGTACATCTGTCAATATATCTCCTAATAACATTTAAAAAATCATAATAATTAACTGGTGTAGCACAACAGCCCCCCTTTGCAGACCTTACACAAACATGAAAAACCCATGAATGTCTGACAAATAATAATGTTCCACTAAGTTTTGAAATGTACAATAGAATCCCAGTATGTTTGTTTAAATAAATGCGGTCTTACCTTAAATTAGAAATAAAACTTCCAGCCTTGTCCAAAAAAGGAGCGACTAAGTGAGTGCGAATGGCAGAATTCCTGAGAGAAAAAGATTGGCGCTTGCTCAGCAACAGTTAAACATCAACTTACATTGATTGGGGCCTCATTTAAGCCACTACTTGTTTGTAAATGTAGCTACTGAGACTCATCCAGGGTTGAATAAGGAAGACTGAAGATGCTTACATGCAGCTATTTTGCATGTCAATGGGCAGGATATAATGTCATGACACAACTAAATCTTTGACGGAAAACATGACAGATTAATTGCGAAAGTATGGACAATCTAACACTGTGTGGGCAAACAAATACAGCTTGCTGTCACAAGAGTTACTCATGTGATGACCCAGGCACACTTTGTTATTTGAACAAATTCGTAGAAAAGATGTGATTGCATTTTACTAGGGAAGACTGGGGCTATATGTTGTGACTGACAATAACTTGATAGGGAAGGATTTGATTAAAGCAACATAAAATGAAACATATATTTCTGAGAATTTCGTGAAGTGATATCTTTTAGATCACATGACAGCCATCTGCAAACACAAGAGGGGACTTTGTCCAATCTGAGCTCTAAAGTGACACAGCCAGGATCGGTAAGCAAGGCTGAGAGTCATGATGAATCCAGGTGAATCACACAGAACTGGAACACCAAAATAAACATGGAAGCAATTTTTTATTAATCCAGTTAATAAATAAGCGT